CAAAGGGAAAGAAAGTCAGAAATTTCACTGCACACAATAATTCATCATTTTGTTTCCATTCATGGGTCCAGACGATAATTGTTATAAGGGAAAGGAAGGCTCCAACTTCATAAGTCAGGTTTCAACCCCCCCCCCAGAAAAATGGAAACACAATGCTAATGTGTGTACAGAACCAGATGGCAGCAAGGCTATGACTGATGGGCAGCATATTGTGTCCTATTCTGCACACAGGCAAGAGCAAGATAGATGTCAATACACAATATCCTCAGGATAATGGCATGCTTTACCCGGTGACACTTGCGTGGGTTATGCACTGATGATGGAGTTAGGAAGGAGGTTTCAATCCGTGCAGAAAACATGCTGGACCTGTGCAATTTGGAGACAAGGGTGCACTTTCAAGACACATAACATCCATGCAGTTTGAAGCTATTTCACCACATAGGACCCGTGTTTTCAGAGCTTGTGAGAAAGGACCTCTCGTCGTTTTTTAAAAGAGATGAAGGAAGGTAGAATGTGAACAAAATTGCAAGACTCAAGCGACGGCGAGCACCCCATATCAGCACCCTCCACATCGGAAGCACCGTCACACTGATTAGGCTGCTGGGTTGCATTCCCAGGGCAGGCTTCTGGAAACCTGACAATTCCCAAAGATTACTGTTGCATCAACCTAGAAAAACACAAGTGAAAAGAAGCAAATGTCAGATGCTAGGAAGTTAATTAAACAAGGCCACTGCCGAGCCTATTTAATGCAGTGTGTCAATGGCAAGAATGAAAGCCATAGCCACTGAGCATTTGATTCTGACACAAGCTAGGACTTACCCTTTTCGTACATAGCAATAGCAATAAAGTGAAAGCCATGTGACTGGTTCTTGGCCAATCAAGATAGAGAATCTGTGGAGGGTTTTGTCCATTCTTCTGATCGTGTCCATCGTAGCAAGCATCACCACTTTTTCTCTGCTCAAGTTAGTTCAATATCTGTGCTGTGTTTGCCCAAACCACTTCAGATCAAGGATGACACGTATTCGGTTCAACCTATAGGAAAAAGGTAAAGCATATGTATCAATGACACTACTCTGTTCAACTTACAGCTGAACTAGTTTTCAATGTCAGAAAATTCCTTGGCCCTTTAAAAAAGTGCATGATCATTAGTTGTCAGCAAGTAAACTTGATACATGGAACTGAGCCAAAAAGAACAAGAGAGGCTTACATTATCTCACAAACTTTGGGAAATGGAAATGTTTTTAGGGTGAGCAAAAAATTCAAATTCTCTGAGTACTAAATATTTTCTTTGGTGCTGAAATAGTTTCAACAGGAGTTTACATTCAGTCACATTGATATTTTGTAAATTCACAATGCAAGGTACTTTGAAAAGGCTGACTTAAAAATAGACTGACAGAAAATTCTCAAGTACAGTCTAAAATTTTTTCAATAAATAAACAATGAAACTCACAATAAGAACAACAGATCTTCATACCAGGAGTGACAGGCAGAGGTGGAGTCTTGACAATATCCTTGACAACAACGCATGCATCCAGAACCAGCCTAATCTCCTAAAATCAAAGAAGAAGTGAACAAAAAATGTAGTATTTGGGAAAAGGGATTGATTTCCAATAAAAATGTCAGTATTCTAATTCATCCTTTGACATCCAACCACTTCCCCTGCAGAAAGTCTGCACAATATGGAGCACCACTGCTGAGTCCAAGGACTTGTCTTAGGTGTTCTGTGACGTGCATAATTATGTGGACAATGTGCTTTGATTGTTACTGGATTAAATATTCAAAAAAGCCTCTCTGAGTGTGCCAAATGCAGGCTCTTTACTACTGAATAAATCACTACGTGTGATTTTTCGGATGTACAGTATTGTTGGGTGCTTGATTATGAGGGAAAAGTGGAATTAACCAATCTGCAACGTAGGCTCCATACAGTAAAAGCAAATCACCTAGTTCCCCAAACCTCTCACAAACCCAAGCATTAAATTTGATATGATTCGCTCGGACTTGAAGCTTTATCCTTACCATACCCATGAAACTGATGATCAGTTCTTTCAAGGAGCTGCCCTGGAAGAGACAGTGCAATCACTTGTCCATGAAGTCCAAGGCACACTGTGAAAGGTATAGTTGTGGGTGAGTTTCTGTCCAAACAAACAAAGTCTAATAAGCTTCTTGTCATGGACTGCATCTCACGAACCAAATAAAAGCACAGGTGCAATGAACCTGAATAATCTTCCAACTACTTTTTACAGCCCGTGACAACTAAATATTAAGAGACAAAACGTTACACATTTTACCAATGCAACTTTCAACCGCGTTCAAGTTTTTTTGTTGTTGTCAATTTTGTGAGAAGCTGTTGCAAAGTTCATAGTCAACTGTTACAAAGTTACTTTTGTGTGTTAACCATTTCTTAAGTTTGATCATTTGTGATACATGTACACTTGTTTCTCTGAATTTCGGAATTCTTGTCCACATAGAAAGTGTTTAAATTTTATTCAATTCGAGAGTGAAAGCTAAAGTAGCAAGTCATCAACAACAATAAATGAATCAAAACGTTTAGACTGACATAAATCAACAGCACTTTGATTTTGGCTATCTGTCATATGCATCCTCCTTAAGCCATTTACCACTTGTGCACTGTATAATTTCAGCCACAAATTTTGACTTTTGAAAAAGACAAGATTTAGCAGCCTACGTGTACTTTCGATATAAATTTATATGTACAGCTGAAGTCGTTGTTGACTTAAGAGTTCTTAGAATAATACAGATCAACGTCACAAGAATGAACACAATATAACAATATAACAGCATTCATGCAAAATTCCCTGAGGCGATTACCAGTTGCCCACAAATCCATTCCCCGCCCGGCCCATGCAAACGGGGGGCAACCTGCCTCGCAATCTTTTCTGAATTAGGATTTGGAACAAACATTTCCAATGCAAAAACTCAAGTTAAAAAGAAGTAACACTGAAATAAGTGGATTTTCTTCAAGGTATGATCATCTTTCATATCTCACCTTTAGGGTAGTTTTCAGTTGAAGTCAAATTCCCAAAATGAAAAAAGGTTGGCAAGTTTTCCTTCAGTCATTCCTTTAAAATGCCATATGGTCATGCTAGTATCCTTTTCTAACATGAAGCTTTAATAGATGTGTTGAGAATTATCAATTGAAAGCAAATAAAAACTATGTAATGAAGATTTCTGTAAGTTAAGTGGCAAAAATTAATCTACTGGCATACATGAACATACTTTCCACTTTGAGTTTTTTACAAGGTTTCCACATCAGGGTTGCCCGTACTGCCTCCAGGTACTCAGTGGCTGGTCTACACAGCCACCCATTCACCCATTATACACATGTGCCCATAAACGATGCAGACCGTGCTGACAGTAGTTACTCTGAAAGTACAAATGTCCTTAACTTTCAAGTTATTATTATTCGTCCTCGACATGTTTCTTTTATGTAAAGCAAAGTTTCCATGTTCAGTAAATGTACACAGAAAATTCAGGTGCCAAGGAGTATATGTTCAGTATAACCGACAGTTATAGCAGTGTTCATTATACATGTACTGTACCGACACTGAACTGCATGCAACCTTGTGTTCTTCAACATTCTGACACACAACCAAGACGCAATATTTGCTACCAAAAGAGGCCAACAACAGTGGCTAAATTCAAGTTCAACATACAATGTACCTCCACACACTTCTACGTCTTTTTGCGCAGGCACAGATAAAACAACAGCCAGAGTCGATGAGATGGGGCAAGTGCTGTGGCTTAACCCATCAGATGTGTCTACATGTACAGATAGCCTGATCATATTTTTATATGTCCTCTCACATGAAGAGATTCTAGACAGTCTGTGTACTTGCACATCCAATCATTTACTGGACAATCTGTAATGCCATTATCCAAGACTTCAGGACATTCGAGCAGACGACATAGCCATTGACATCTTTACCTTATGTAGGTCGTTCTGATGCAGCCATTAGGGCAGATGCAGGAGAAACTCAAGTTCTTATCCATGAGGCATGTTCCAGCATTCTGTCAGGGTTGTGCTACTCATAAACACGCTGTGGTAAAGGAACACAAGAAAATGTGTATTTGAATAGACTCAAGGACTCAAGCTCACATTAAATAAAATGTATGAAGAATCAGTCTGAAAAGATAATCTAGTTCATGCCTGAAACAACGGGAGTGTGGAACTGGCTTAGACTATATCTATACACATATGATCCCTCATATTTCTGTTGTAAACCTCCAATGAATATTCATTCGGTCTGAGATCTTTCAAGATACTGAAAGTGTCAGTACATGTATAATTTTCAAAATATGTGTACATTCAACCTAATAAATCCCAACTCTCATCAACCCATCCCTACCAAACCCCCCACAACCGACTGTCACCAACCCAGCCCACAAATCCTTGACTAGGCTCAGGTGCAAGTTCATTGGTTGCCATACTATAAGTACATGTAGTTGCATACATGCACATGGTGAGAAAAAACTGCAATGGTAGCATTTTTAAGAATTAATGGGAAGATCATACAAGAAGTCAAAGCTTGTACTGGGTCTACCCACAGCAAAAAGAGGAAGTTTATTTTATCCAAATCATGATTAAGTGAATAGGAATATTTATACTGAGAGGAGGTTAAAATACAAAATGAATGAATTTGTAATCTGTCAAAATCAATAAATTACAGTAATTTTTAAAAGTGCTGTCGACAACTTAGCTTGACAGTTACATCCATGTAATTACCAGTAACTTCAACTACATACATGTAAACCAGTAAGTTTTATTATTCCTTTTGCAAGTTATACTTGACTCCAATGGACAGAATGATCAACTTTAGTTCTACGGTATGATAGGGGTCCCTGGTATCTACAATCCTGGACAGACTTGTTGGGACACTTGGTAATAGCCATATGCTCTCCAGCCCCCTCCCCAACTCCCCCCCGGTCAATGTTGTCCAGCTGGAGCGCAGACCGTGCGCACAGACCCAACATTGAACATGGGGTCTGGAGGCCTAACGAGATTTGTCCAGGATTGTAGCAGTAGATGATATGGCAAACTTGTGACTTGGTTGAGATGAAACTTGTTTGATGACCTTGTCCAGTGCTTCCACAGTCAAAATGAAAATTTCCGTATCCCCAAAGCCAAATGTCCTTATTTTCCTCCCGATTTCCTTATTTTTTAGTTAACCACCAAAAAGCCTAATATACTACCAAAACTACTGTGTTTGTTTGCTAGATGATAAGCAGAGGTCAGTACAATGCTCAAACTCACTGTCTTCAACAAAGAAATCAGGCTGTGTGCATCATGTGTGGTGATATAACTTGTGCGCACGCGCATAAAATTTTATTCTACTAGTCTTGTTTCCAGTCATCCTGAATCTGACAGAATATTACTGTAGAGTTTGAAATGTAGATTTTGCTGCTAATTTTGAGAATATTTGTAGAATTTGCTCAGAATTTAATAATTTCCTTAGAATTACTTTAGATTTGGGGCATTTCCTCAAAATTTCCTTAGATTTTTTCATGTCCTTCAAATTTCCTTCGAAAGCAAAAATTTCCTACAAATAAGGAAATTTCCTTGAAAGTGGAAGAGCTGACCCAATGTCAAGATTATTGAAATCATTATTCCTTACGATAGCAGCTTTTACATTCGGAGGCAGACAGTTTTTTCAAAATTATACATTACAGCACGAAAATACTATTTATAAAGATAATTCTTTGATTGCATAAACGATAAAAGGCATTACTCTCTGAAAACGCATGAGGGAATCCTTTGGCTTTTCTTGTTTTGCTGTCATGTGGGCGCGGCTGTGAATGATCATGAGACTGGGCTGTAGTGTTTGGGTTTGCGAGTTGCTTGGATACCAAGTGTCCTTATGCAAATTGGTTAAAGTTGAGGCCAATTAAATTGCAGTTTTCGGCGTTCCTTTTGAATCCCTTGTGGGAAAGGCAGCAAGCCTCACTGTATATATTTTTTTGTAGTAGTCGGCCTACGTAAAGGAAGAATCACAATCGGATTTTCTTGTGCGGATGGATCCCTTCAGCAGGCCACTGCCAGACTGCGTCATTCATCTTTTCCTGAGCATTAGTTCTCACTGTATGGTCTCATTTTCCTCGCATTTGCTGTGAAACTGGGAAAATCTTGCGGGGCTTGGCTGCTCTGCCATATCCTCTTCTCTGACAGGAGTGACTCAGGAATGGAGTACACAGCCTTGGAAATCTACAAGTAAATGTGCTGTTTTCATGTGATGCCGCGTTCAACGGACAGCACAAGAGACCCTGCTCATCAGTCACCTTCACAGTATGCCAGCATGCATCACCTTGGACCCGTATGGCCATTGTCCATGGCCGGGCCTGTACTACGAGGGGAAAGCACCATGGATTGAGTCAACTTGCCGTCGTGCATCGCTACAGTATCTACAAGCAGCCCATGGAGGAGCAGCATTCTCTCTCCAGACAGACAAGTGCTCATCCAAAAGACGGTTCCATTGTACCATCCTTGCCACCGCTCATCGCTTAGTGCAGTCAGTGGAGCAGCGCACTCCGCATCCATCAAGGCCATCGATGTCAGGGAGCCCCTTTCATGCAGCAGGCATCCAACCGGCGGTGCTACCGGTGGTGATGTGCCGTCGTAATGAGTGTTGAACCTAGCTCAGGAAGACTATTGGCAGGCTACAGCTTCATCTACGGCACCAGAATCTTTGGTTCACAATTTTATACTTGTAACTGTAGGATAGTACAGGGTATGTGGAAATTGACTTCGGCTGATGCCAATTGTTTTGCGTTGAATTCCCTGTGCACCTACAATTGGCACGGTGCATCTTCATCTTCAGTCAGCACTGCGAAGCTATGTACACGCACTACACGGTGATTCTGGCTGCCGCACATGGCATACAACAGGAATTGCTGGCCGCTCTCAATGGTTTTTTGGTCAGACTTGCGCAGTGGTTTAAATGACACACAAAACAAATCAATGAATAACTAATGATAAGGCCTATGATAATCTGTTTTATCACTCCAAGATAAAATGTATTATTCTGGACAGGCACAGTTTGTTGCCATGGTGTTGTAAACATGTAGCTTGGAGTGTAGGCACGCGACCGCCTGACTCTCTGCTGGCTGGCGGAAGGCCAAGGAAAGTAGCTACATAGCATTACTATTTACAGCCAACGCGCAAGAAATAGGTTGCACATTGTTATAATTCGGCATTAAAATTTTAAAAAAAAATAATAACAATACTAAAGTATATATGCCTAAGTATTTTACTTACTTGTAGGCCCTACCCCTAATCTGAGGATATTAGGAACCTTCTTTGAAACAGTTTTGGACGCCTTCCATGTAAGAACTGTTGCAGTTAAAGTAGGATAAGTCTAGCCAAATTATCACTTTGTCAGTGCATGCAGATTAATGCTTCTCACTCGAACAAATTTAAACACATCAAGTGCAGGCCTAACGAAACAGTGAAATAATAACGTGAATAAATTTTTAAAATAAATAATAAGAATAAAGTAAATTAATTAACAATGAGAATTATAATGATCAAATAAAGTACGTCCAAGTGAAAAATAACAATGTGCTATGTCTGTCGCATGCTCAGGGGAAGGGGCAAATCGTGTGCACATTGCATGCCTCCTGCTGTCAGCTAATCTTGTAGAACAACAACATCTTACAATAAGTACACCGGTTGTCATGGTTCCCGTGCCCATTACTTGTGAGGGCTGTATTTTCCGTTTTCATGAGCAGTCTGCATCTGCTTCGCTTGTGCATAGTTTGTCGCTTTGCTTTAGAGGCGAGCGATTTCTATTTCTTTTTTTCTTAGTCCGTACCGTAAAGGTACCAGGTAGTTCTCAGCAAAAACCAAAACAAACACGAATTCAGCAAATTGGCTTGACTGTTTATCCATCTGCCAGTTCCAATTATTCAGTTCTCTCCAGCAAGGCTTGTCCTAAGTACCAACCAGGCTGTTTTGCTTTATCCAACATTTGTCATAATCATACCCTTTAATCAAAAGTGGTTCTTTGAATGAATGTATCAATAATGAGGACTGCTAAATATTTATTGCATGCGTTACAGCCGTCAGATTGCCACGTCTCATAGTATCATTCATGCTATGGATGAGGCCTTAGGCCTAAACATCTACTTCTGGACTGCCTCCTGATACTTCTCCAAACGAAGAGCATCTTGGTTTTCATTTGCCAAATTAGTTTCACTATGCCTAGCCTGGCTATCTTATTTTGTTTGCACTGTTGGATATAAATAGCATTTTGGGAATTTCACGATAGTGGGTTTTGTGCATCTGCAGCCTTTATATCACATTATTTGGATTATTTATTTTGGATTTTTTAGATGAATTCAACGGAGCATCACAGCGTTTTTATGAGCACTTTAAGGTTTGTGTGCAGCTTGGAGTAGGCACTCGGAGGTGATTTCCGAATTAAGGCCCTTGTCATACCAGAATTCCGCATCTGAATTGGAGAATGATGCGACAGTAGCAAATCTGTGTGCCATGGGATTAGTCAGTCACCCTCAAGCAATATGGAAAAAACCTCTGATATAAAAAAAAATACACACACAAACACAAACACACAAAAAAAGGAAACTGTTGATTTCTCTCAACATTGTCTGTTATGCCATCACTCAAGGAAGAGCATTTCACATGAATGTGTCAGGTTTATGAAATAGCCAAAGCTCATCTGTATGCACAATTATATCCTCATGACTTTAAACTCATCTGTTCAAAAAGTTACTTGTAGAGAGATTTAAGGTCCATTTTCCCTTTGGGTTTATTATGATCTTAGTTTTATACAAATTGGAAGTGCTTCGCTCACCTATTTTCAAATAATCTCGGGTGCGCCGTACATTTTTGCTGGGTAGCCGAAAATTGTCAATTCTAATGGCTTCTTATAGTTATGAGAGGGAGTCCTGAATTTAAGAACTCTCTCAGTTATAGGAACAGTGGTTCCCATGGATAACAAGTTGGTTTCACAAGTTTCTTCTGTTGTGACAATTATTGTCAGTGGGGAACTTTTCTCTGTCATTTCAGACTTGGCAAG